TGTAAGCTCCTTGAGGGCAGGGACTATGTGTTTTGCTCACTACTGTATGTTCAACACCTAGAACAGTACCTCCACAGAGTACCACAAATATTTGTTGAGTAAATGAATTATCAAATTAATGTAAGTAATGTTGGCTCCATGCTTGTCCCATATTAAAACATGATCTAATATTTTACATATGATTTCCTCAGCATCCTAACAAAACGTCTTAACGTCACAGAGGGTAAAAACATTTTAATGGTGGAAAACATATAAAGCATAAAATGAGCCTTAAAAGTTGCTAAACACAGGTCATAGCTCTTTTTGGTTCTACAACAGGATAAAATCCATTTTCCCCCTCAAGACAAAAGCTAAGAACAAATCTATGATCACTTTCTTTAGGTGAGTATTACTGATGCTTTGTGAGATTGTATTCTCACTGACAATTTGGGGCACAGTTTTCGTCCAGCGGAAAGCACTTAGCAAGATGCCTGGTATGAAGTAGTTGCTCAAAAATAGCAGTTCTCATTTTGATTATCCCAGACCACATCCCCACTTCTTGATCTGAGAACCTCTTTGCCCTTAGCAGCTGGCTGTGTCCTTGCCAAGGCCCTACTCCTCCTTCAGGAGATATAGACTGTGCTTATGACCTCATTTGTTCCTTTATACAACATCTGGACTTCGTGTCTTGTTTGTTCAGGCCTTCAGAACCATAGAACACTTACTAGGCTATTAGCCTTCATTTGCTTAGGTTGGCATACCTAGCTGGTGATAAAACTAAAAGGCTAACAGTTTACATGAAACTAATTCCTGGGTTAAATAGAAAGCAGAACATGCCCATTAAGCTGGAACACCTAAACACATGGTTATGAATCTTATAAAATGAGCACTGCTTTTTTTAAAACTGATGAAACATTTATGTAGCATCCAGAACAACTCATAAAAAATGTACTCTCACCGTGTCTGTGATTTCTTTGGATAAGCCAGCTTTTAAAAGGTATGATGCCATTATACCAGGAGGAACAAAGGATCCCAGGACACTTTAGGGATCTTACATCACAACTTACTGATAATAGTTTTAGTGAATTTTCTAAATTACACATAGTTTGATTATTTATTGTTTTAATTTCTAAAAGCCCCAAATAACAACAAACGCATAAAAAGAAAATAGCTTCTCTGTCCATACAAAATGAAATTTTAAATATTACTGTTTATGAGATTGTTAATAAAAACATTTTCAGCTGCTCATTTAATTCTTAATGATAGGGCATTTTAAAAATCACTAAAATGAACGGTAAGAAAATTTTATCCATAAAATTATGCAAAATTATCTAGATAAATGGTATTTCAATATTGGTTCTACAGTTAATTGTAGAATAGAAATTAACTGGTTTTAAAGAGGGGAGGAAAAGGAGCTTTAGGTGAAGAAAACAGTATGTGTAAAGGCCTAGAGAGAGAGAGAGAGAGAAAGAGAGAGAGAGAACATGAACCTTTCAAAAAACTCTGAGGTGTTTGGTATAGGTGGACCATTTAAAGTTTGAGGGTATCTAAGACCTTTGCAAATAGAGGCCAGCTCACGAAAGGTCTTACAGGCCATGTTAAGGGAATTTTGCTTTTTCTTGAGGAAAATAGGAAACAATTGAAGAGTCTTCAAAGTGGTTAATAATCACATGTTTTAGAAAGATCATTCTGGCAGCAGTGTGGAGAATGGATTGATGAAAGATATAGGGCCAAGTGAGAGGCCATTGCAGTAATCTAAATGAAAGTTGTGATCATGGCAGAGGTGATAGAGAGCAGTGGGTAGAATACAGGGAAATTTATCAATAGAAGATAGAACTGATGAGACTTGGTGATTTAATGGATGTGTGTGTACAGGAGGATTCAGTCAGTGAAGAGTGAGGGAGCATGAGGAGCTGTGAATGACCCACAAGAATAGCTGAGTGAATGGTGTGCCATTGATGAAAACACCCTCCAGAAGCAGTTAGTATGAGTATTAGCCAAGGATGAGCAGTACTAACTCTGTGTTAAAAAAATAATAAAAATAGGGCTTCCCTGGTGGCGCAGTGGTTGAGAGTCCGCCTGCCGATGCAGGGGACACGGGTTCGTGCCCCGGTCCGGGAGGATCCCACATGCCACGGAGCGGCTGGGCCCGTGAGCCATGGCCGCTGAGCCTGTGCGTTCGGAGCCTGTGCTCCACAACGGGAGAGGCCACAACAGTGAGAGGCCCCCGTACCCCCAAAAAAAAAAAAAAAAAAAAAAAGACATTCATAGTAGCGAGTAGTGACCCAAAATTACATTTTCTAATCTATTGCATATGACATTGTTAATTTATTGAGTATATAATAAGCATCATATATTGTGTTTTACTTGTGTTAACTCATTCCATCTTCATGACAATGTAAAATGCAGATTATTGTCTCCTCACAGAGGAGGAAACTAAACCTCAGAGAAGATATCCAGGTAGTAACCTGAGTTACAGACAAAATGAGGAGAAAAAGTTGCATTAACCTCCGAACATAGAGGATTAGGGCTCCAGTTAGAGGTATAAGCAACAAACTATTGTTGGTCAAGAGATAGATTAATTTTCATTTTAGTTATCCTTGCTGGTTGGACCTTGAAGTGTGTGGAAAGAGTGATATTTGGGCACCTGAGTGGAGAGCCTTAAATTCCAGGCTGTTTGGATTTTATTCTCCAGGTAATGCCGAGCCACTGAAAGTTTTTGAGGGGGAGTAACAGAATTAGCCAATTATAGCAAGACTTAGAATTTCAAGTTCAAAAGAGTTTTTTTCTTTCTTTCTTTCTTTTTTTTTTTAAAAGAGTTCTCAAGTAATTCAATCCAACTCTCTCAATTCACAAATGGGGAAAACAAAGCCCCTAAATTTGAAGCTCTGCAGCTGGGGCTTTCATTATTGGCAATAGGTTTTTCATCTGGATAACTGACATGGGTGATTAGCTTGCCTCCATTTGGTCACAGCCTGAGCTCAGATCTTGCGCAGGTCTCGCCTGCGTCCCAAATTAACAAGAGTCCTGATGAGGCCTAAGAGCTGGCTGAAGAAGGGACTATTTTGAGCCTTGGGAGATCAAGTAAGGGTGATGGCAGAGTTCAGAGATAACAGAGTGTATCTAACATCTAGGGTAGGGTCATTCCTTGGCTGAATGCTTCTCTCTTGGGTTTTGCAGAAGCCTAACCTAGCCCATAGTCACTGATGACAGCTTTACTGCAGTGCTATGTTAAAGCTGGCATTATCAAGGTGGGCAATATAAGTCTCCAAAGAAGGGAAGAAGTTGGGAATAAATGGCTGAATAATTGCTGATGTTGTGAGTGTGTTAGACTTGGTCATGCAGATGTCCCTCTGGAGTTGATAAATGACACAGATTCACCTGCAGTTTTGACCCATCAAAAGATAAGGTAGCTCTGTCTGATGTCAAAAACATTCCTGCGCCTTTGGTGTCTTTCTTAGCAAATGGGCGCCCTACCTCCCAGCTGTGCAAGGCAGAAACCTAAATACCACTTTTGGCTGCTCTCTCCATTGCCCCTGATGCCCAATCGGTACCAAGCCATTCTATTGTTTGAATACCCATTTGTCCCATCCTCTCTACCATGACCTTAGTTTAGGCCACCATCATATCTCATCTAAATTATTGCAAAAGCCTTTCTCTGTTTTCCCTGCCTCAAACCTTGTACCCCTTAATCCATTATCTGCAGCCAGAGAGATAAAGAAAGCATCAATTCTTTGAAATAATATGTCTGTTTTTCAGAGTCAGAGATGTGTCCAATGACAGCATCGATTATTTTGTTCTGTTTTCTAGCTTCCCTACAGAAGAACAGTGATGTCACAAATATTAGGGGTGAAATGACATTGATCCACAGGCTCAAGTGACCTTTTTCAACCAGATATCACAAAGATTCAACAAAACCATCTAAAAAATTATTTGTCCAATTTGCTAAAAAGTGACACAATAAGTCTTTAAGATCTCAAACTCTAGAATTTTCAGTTTAGGTAAAAGCTTTGCAAGAGCTAGTGCTTTCAGAAGGTTTACTGCAAGAGAAATTTCATTATTTAGCTATTTGAGATTATGAATTCAGTTTTCTATTATAAAAACGTGTGTTGATAAAGGCATACCTAAGTCATAGTGTGAAGGATAACAAGGAAGATTCTAGTCAGAGAAATTCTCCTGAATTCTAAAGGAAAGTTATCTTTCTACTTTGTCCGGGTGGTAAGGGAAGAAGGCAATCAATAATTATTGACTGTTTATTTTGCCAAGCAAGATGCACATTATCTCATTAGCTCTAGGAAGTAGTTACTATCAGCACAATTTTACAGTGAAGGATGCTTGGGAATGTTAAATATCTTGATAAAGATTCTAGAGCTGATAAGTGGGAAACCAGGATTCAAGCCTAAAACATGAGAACCTGCATTCTTTTTCTAAAAAATTTAATTTTATTTATTTATTTTTTATACAGCATGTTCTTATTAGTTATCTATTTTATGCATGTAGGTGTATATATGTCAATCCCAATCTCCCAAAGAGAACCTGCATTCTTAAGTGTGCATTCTCAATGCTTTGAAATAGATGGTGCTTTCAATACTTACAAATCCCTTATGAGATAGGTTTTCCCATTCTATAGATATGATTATCGAAGCTTAAAATGTTTAAAACTTGTCCTGTGTCACTCAGTAAGGGGTAGGGCTGACACTGAATCTCACAGTTGTCTATTTTCAAAGTCCATGTGTTTTCCACAATGTCTTCCAAGACAGCATCCTGTTAATTGTCTCACGTATGCAGCTAATAGTAAGTGATGATGTTCAGAAGGGACTGAATAACTAGCAATAATCGTAAAAGCTCATTTTTAAAACTTCATGGTGTCACCTATGTGCTTAGCAAATGTTGTTAAAATGACGTATTGACCAATAAAATGTCAGGAAATTTCGTATAAATTGGCCAAGAGTGTGAGGGCAACTTCAAAACTTGATTTGACAATATTCACTATATCAGACTCTCATTAAATTCCCAGCAAAATGAGGGGTTTCATTTTTACTTTGTTTCTCTTCTCTCTCCTGCTTGCCATCTCAGAAGTGAAGAGTGAAGAATCCAGGAAGCTCTGCGGGCTCGAGTACATATGAACTGTCATTTACACCTGTGCCAGCTCCCGGTGGAGAAAGCACCTGGAGTCGATCCCACAAGGTCAGCAAGGTAACATGAATGCATATGACTCCCTCATTTATTATTATTTTTTTAAGACTTGTTTTAATAACTGTTTCTCTAGTTACTGCTAAGCCACTTCTATATCAATCTGGGGGATTAATTATCAAAATAAACATTTTGGCTTGGGAAGGAGGTGAGCTTCCTTTCAAAAAATAAGGACCTTGTTTTCTTTAGTCCCCAGCTTGAAATGATTTGATTGCACAACTACTTCGATGAGCTTAGCATCTATGGCAGGTGCTGGGAGGGTGGGTAGAGAGAAGCATGTGATTTCAAGGGTCATGTTGGAGCAGCAAGATTTTCACATGCAGATAATTATAGAATATAATAAGTTGGCATTCAGGCAGGTGCTAAATAAGAATGGAAGGAAGGAATCTAACTTTTATTGAGCACTTATTACATGCCAGGCAGTTTCATGGGCAACATTTCATTCAGTCTTCCGATAAGGATCCTTTGAAGTAAGTAATATTACCACCATTTACCATTTTACTGAGGACAAATATGTTCACCCAGCTAGTAAGCAGGGTGGTTGGGAAGCAAACCAGCTCTTTCTGGCTTCAGAGCTGAGGTCTCCTGCTTATTCTATACTGCGTCTCAGGTGGGGAAAAGATGGTGGTAGTGTGTTGTAATAAATGACACTACCGTGGAGGTGGTGGTATTTGACAGAGGCCCTAAGGGTGTGTGTAGGGTTTGGGAGTTAGGGGGAGTGGGATGGGAATTCTAGCAGTAGGAATTGTCAGAATTTTAGAATTTTAAGGGTGGGAGTGAACCTAATGTGTTTCAGAAACGGAGAGGGGGGTGACTTCACTACATTTCTTCATTTTCCAATTCAAGTAACTTAGAAGTTGGCATTTTTCTCCTGCTAATCCTATATTAAAGTATGACGTATAACTTATTTAAGATTCTATTTTAATAATTGTGTGTGTTATGTTTTATAATAAAAGTAAAAAAGAAAAACATGTTTACAGAATAAATGTTGCAACCACACATATGATATGAAAACTTTACAGGTTTCAATTTGGTTTAAAATGACTGGTAAACAAAAAGATTTTGGAAAATGACCCAGAGTTTTTGTATTTTGGTGGACTAATGTCTTGAAAAATTATGAACTTACCACTCTTACTTTAATAATGAGAGGCTCATAGTTACTAGATGTTAATAAACAATAAGCATTTTTAATCTCAAGGGAGTAAACATAATTTACCAGATTGACCATATTTTATCAATCTCCGGCAAATCAGAATGCAATAGAAAAAATACATTTTGAATATCTTTAAAATATGTGGGGCAATGGAGTATATGTCTGTATAAGGCTATCTCTTCCGACACCACTAGTCAAATATTTTCCCATACATTATTTATTTGATGCATTACTGGTTTGCCAATCAGCATTCATTCATCTAAATTTTTTCTGGTGGTTGCCAGTGTGCTAAGGTGCTGATAAGTAAGTTTGAACGAAGTTGAAGTGAGACAGGCTTATGCATGGACTTCGGGAACAACACTGATAAAAACAGTTGGGCCCACTTTTAATTTTCAGACATAGAGGTTTAAATCTCCACTTCCTTCCTTACTGATCAGCTTTGCAGGGCATACACAGGATTATTTTTTGATTGTTTTGGTTGATAGCATGTAACTAATACTTTTGGAAGCCGCTGGTCACTGTGCAGAGGTAGCCACGGCAACAGAAGTCAAGCCCTGACTTGGCTGCTAACTGGCCAAGTGACACTGGTTCTGTCACTCCTCTCTGCACCCACGTTTCCTCTTCTGTAAATGAGGAGGGTGGATATGACTGAGTTCTCCCTAAAATATCTAATCTCTCTGAAACCCCAGACCAAAGTTAAAAAAAAAAATCAACTGCAAGATTCAATTTCCTTCCAGAAATCCAATGCATTTCCCCCAGAGTAGAACTTGGTTGCTGCCTTTGTCAGAGCTCTCTAAGGAAGCATTGTTTTTTCCCTTCCATATAGCTGAGAGAGGAAACCGCTTCCAGCTGCCTAATGAACAGATTTCCGAGGAAAGCCCAGTGCAAAACCTTCCAAAGACGGATTCCTCGGGGGAGGAAAGTCTTCAGGGTGAACAGCTGCCCACAGAAGGGCTTCGGAGGTCAAAGAAGTATTCGGTGATGTCAAGACAAGACTTGCAAAAGTTGTGCTGCACCGAAGTCTGTTCCATGTCTGACTTAAGCGCTCTTTGTTAGGACAAACAAATCCCCAAGGGTGGCAGAGTTTTAGCACACGTTTAATCACAGTGTTTTACTTCCCAGAACAATACTCACATTGTGTCATTAAACTAATGTCTTTTGGGTAGGCAATCCTTCTTTCCTAAATGTTGTAGATGGTTGGCTAAAACCACAACGAGGTCTAGTTTCTCCCATTGCCAAGGTGAATGCACTGTTCTTTCCAAATTTTAACTAATCCTTTGAAATTTTAAATGCTGTGCAAAATGACAATAAAAATTCCATAAAGCAAGCTTACTGTGATTTTTCTGTTTTTAAAACAATTTTAAAGAACTTTAAAACAGTAAACCAAAAATGTTGATGGTAAAAAAAACCTTAAAAAATAAAAAACTACTATTACCTCATCATCTAGAAATAATCCATTCTTAAGTTTTGTGTTGCTGTATATTATTACTGAAAATTTAAACATCGATTCACAGTCAAGTGTAAGAATCTAAACAAAGTGCTTTTCTCAAGAGTTCTTAGAGTGCTCAATTAATGTTTCCTAATATGCATCTCTTCAACATTATACTTGAGAATAGTTGGGTGCATATATGTATCAAAGAGGGCCCATAAACAGCCCGAATCCAGAAAACGTTTGGGTATCTTAGCTCCTTTCATAGTATGGGCTGCCTTGGTTTTGCCTTCCTACTGCTGAGATAAAAGGACATTCTATTCTCATCCTGGATGTTGAGAAACTAAAATGCAGATAGCCAAGTCATTGTGCCACAATTGGATGTCTTCACAGATGAAAAGATAAAGTAAGATATCACAAAACTATGCTCTTATTTCTAACTCTGTCAGCCAACTCCCCAGTAGGTTTTAACATAGTTAGACTCTGTTCATCTGAGGTGCTGCCTATTAATACTCCAGCCTGTATTTGAAATTCATCGTCTACACATTGTGCACGTAAATTGTGCCAAAGCATTGTTCTTTGCAGATAAAAAACTGAGTCTCCCTAGAATTAAGTAAACGTTTACTAAGTCACACAGCTGAGGAGGTGGTATCACTGATCCAAACTTAGGCTACTTAGCATGAATCAAGGCAGTCACATCAAACTGCACCAGTTGTCAATTACTCTTTACCACGAGACACTCCCTGTTTGTTTAAATCAGTTTCACTGAAGAATGTCTTTTGAAGAAGCAGTAGAAATTAATGATATTAAATCTCAACCCTTGAGTACATGCCCTTTCAATATTCTGAGTGGTGAAATGGGAAGACTGCATGAAGCATGTTTGCTGCAGACTGAAGTATGATGGTTTCCTCAAGGAAAAGCACTTCTGTGATTGAGTTTGAACTTAAAAGTAGCTGCTTTTTCCAAGAAGCACCATTTTTTAAGAAAAAATAAAGACTGAAAAACTGTGTTTATTCAGATTTGGGTATTAGCAATGAAATGAAATAAGATTTGAAAATGAACAAAGTAGGCTTCAAGGAAAACGACTGACAGTATTGGTTGCTGATGGTAAAGTCCAAGCTTACAAGCAATTTTGGAAAACTTTTACCCACCACCCTGAGCATCAGTGGTGATATTTGATTTTTTGATATTATATGACATGTGTCAACATTTGGGAGATCTGCTATAACTCAATGAACCAATATTTTCCAAATGATCAATGCATGATACTACAAAATCATGAATGGTTAAGAAATCTGCTCAAAGTGCAAAATAAAGATTTTAATCTAGCTACAAAAAATTCATTGGTATCATTTCAGATTTTACATTGCAAGTAACCTTTAATAAACAGTCACTTGCTGAGTTTTGGTATAATATCAAAAGAGAATATATTGATAAAAATGATCTGAAAATGCTATTAAAATACTCTCCCCTTTTGCAACTAAATGTTTATGTGTGGCTGAATTTTCTTCATGTACATTAGCCAACATAACACACAGCAGCAGATTAAAAATGTAGGAGCTGATAGAAGCTGTATTTTATAAAGACAGTCATTAGAAACTTGCAAAAATATAAAACAGTGCCACTTTTCTCACTAAATGTTTTTTGTTTTGTGAAAATATAGATTTTTAAATAAAATATGTTATTGGTGTTAATGTGTGATGAGTTTATTTTTATTTTCAAATGAGTTAAACATTTAAATTTCTCAGTAAAATTCTAATATGATAAATATTGATAAATTGAACCCACATAAACGAAAGCTCTGACATTCTTAATACTTTTTAAGAGTGTGAAAGGATTATGAAACCAAAAAGTGTGAGAATTGCTCTTATATAAGGTTTTGCCACAAATTTTTGAGGTTCCATCAAGAGATGTTTAGGTTGCTGTATTTGTCATGACAAAGATGCAATAAACAGCCTTGTTTATATATCCTTATGTACCGACACTTTCATTTCAATAGGATAGCTTGCCAAGTTGCTAGGCGGAAAAATATGTGTATTTTTTTCAATGTACTTTTAATAGTTATTTTTTATTTGTTACATATTTATTAGTTATTATAAATGTATCTATTCAATTTAAGTACAAAGAGAAACAAAGAAGAAAGATGGGACCTCGTCATTTTTTTTTTTTTTTTGCGATACGCTGGCCTCTCACTGCTGTGGCCTCTCCCGTTGCGGAGCACAGGCTCCGGAAGCGCAGGCTCAGCGGCCATGGCTCACGGGCCCAGCCGCTCCGCGGCATGTGGGATATTCCCAGACCGGGGCACGAACCCGTGTCCCCTGAATCGGCAGGCGGACTCTCAACCACTGCGTCACCAGGGAAGCCCGGGACCTAGTCTTTTTACTTAAATCCTGTAGTTCCTTTTTTGGGGAAAGAAAGATAATATATGTATACGGTTAGGAAACGTAAACAGTCCAGGGAAGTATAAAATACAACAAAAGTCTCACTCTCTTCCATTTGATTCTGAAGTAATATAACCCTTATTCAGAGTTTCTTGTAATTTCTGCCAGAAACAAAAAATTATGTCTATACTGAATATATGTGGTATAGTTACAGATTTAGTAACTATAGTAGATATAGATAGCTTGCCCTATATCATTATCTATCTACCTACCTATCTTATCTATCTACCTATCATTGTCTATCTATATCTATATCTATCTATATCTATAACAGAGACTTTTAGCTGTCCACTAAAACTTCTCCTCTTCCTCTTGGGCACAGATAGACTACATTTCTCAGTCTCTTTTGCAGTTTCATGTGGTCATATGACTGAGTTCTAGCTAATTAAATGTGACTAGTCCATCAAGTCTCCCTCCCTCTGCCTCAATTTAGCAAGCAATAACCTTTGACGTTTTTATGTTTGATTCTATTTTTTACAGTTGTTAACCCACTCTAATACAATATGTACTGACTCTATCAACCCATTTTACACAAAAAGAAATTACACATACTCATTGCTTTGTTTAATACATCTTGGAAATATTTCAATAACATCCCAGTATAGGTATTATAATTTTAAACACATACCAAGAGAATACCATTTAAAAAGTTTGTATTAATTCATATTTTCACTAGAAATTTATGAGTGACTCTTTCTCTACATTCTCCCCAGTCCATGATGTTATTACACTTGCAAAAATTTGCAATTTTTATAGATGAAACATTGAATATAATTTTGTTGTATTTGCATTATTACAACTATGATTGCCTTTAGTATTTATTGGACATTTTAATTTCCTCTTCTGTAAATTTGTCTGTTCATATTTTTTGCCCATTTTTCGATTGCTATTTATTTATAATAGTTTTCTTATCAATTTTCAAGACTTTTTAATATTAAGGATATTAACTTTCTGACTGCCTTCTTAGTAAAATATTTCCCCCAAAATCTTTGGTATGCATTGATTTCATTTAGGATGTCTTTTGCATACAATGTCATTGCATACAATGTCTGTCTTTCCTTTACAGTTTCTGGATTTCCTTTTTTGCTTAGGCAGACCACCCTTATTGTGAGTAAGGTTGTGAAAAAGTCTACTAAATTATATTCTAATAATTTAATTTTGTAACCTTTGCATTTAAATTTAATCCATTTTATATTTATTTTTGTATAGTATGAGGTGTTTAATTTTTATTTTCTTCCAAATGAACAGAACATTTTGCCTGCATCATGGAACAGCCTTTTCCCATGGAAATTTCATGCCATTTTAGTCATATGTTGTTTCACATGTTTGGAGCTATTGTAGGCCCTTTATTCTGCTCTTTGCTCTATTTATCCTCAGTTAGCACCATACTATTTCGATTGCAGTAACTTTATGGTAAATTTTAGTAGCTCTTAAGAAAAGTTGCCCATCACTATAGATTGTTTAAAATTTTTTCATGGATATTATGAGACATACATCCTTCTATGTGGATTTTATAATCCAGTTTCCAAAAAAATTTTATTGGAATTATAATTTGAATTGCTTTACATTTATACTCATGTAGAAAACATTTATATTCTATGATATTAAGAATTCTTATCTAAAATATATTACTATAATAATACAGCATTTTATTTCTTTTAATAACTTTTTATAATTTTAACTATATAGGTCTGTGTCTTTTTATACTACCTTCTAATTTTGTTACCTTTTTTTTTCATTTTTTTCTTAAACATCTTTATTGGAGTACAATTGCTTTACAATGGTGTGTTAGTTTCTGCTGTATAACAAAGTGAATCAGCTATACATATACATATATCCCCATACCTCCTCCCTCTTGTGTCTCCCTCCCACCCTCCCTATCCCACCCGTCTATGTGGTCACAAAGCACCAAGCTGATCTCCCTGTGCTATGCGGCTGCTCCCCACTAGCTATCTATTTTACATTTGGTAGTGTATATATGTCCATGCCACTCTCTCACTTCATCCGAGCTTACCCTTCCCCCTCCCCGTGTCCTCAAGTCCATTCTCTATGTCTGCATCTTTATTCCTGTCCTGCCCCTAGGTTCTTCAGAACCATTTTTTTTTTTTTTTTAGATTCCATATATATGTGTTAGCATATGGTATTCTTTTTTTTCTCTTTCTGACTTACTTCACTCTGTATGACAG